GACTGTATCCCATCTCCATGGATGTGGTACAGAACTTTCTGAACAACTTCGAGCATTTGTAGTTTGCATTGAGTGCAAATTTACTTCTCATTCGTGGATTTATAATATTTATAGATGAAGATGAAGTCGATCTTGGCTGTACGCCTTTGACTAGTACTCCTAAGAAAGACAGTTCTGGAAAACATGCTTTGACTCCGAATTCTAAAAGACAAAACGAGCCATCTTCAAAGAAACTGAATGCTTCTGAAAGCCCCTCATCTGTTTCTGAATTTTCTGGTGACTGTGGTAAGTTGTGACTACTTTATCACACAAATTTATTTTGTCTTGATCCAGGGTGCATTTTAAGAAGTGCAATATACCAAAAATATATTCAACATTAATATAGCAAATTACTATATTATTTGTTTTAGTTTGTGGAAACACCATACTGTATAATTATATTTATGTATAATTGATAGATCATTTTAAGAATTTTATTCTTTTAATTAACATAAATATTATGGACTTTGCCAAGCCAGTGTGATGGAAAGAATATTCCTACCCCATCCCCTGAGATACCCCACAACCAGATACCTATGTAATAGACCTTAAATGCATAATGACGTCACAAGACTTGATCCTAGCAAGAAATCCTGGTCTTTATAGTCATCGCCTGGGAAAATTTCGATAGTGGCCATTGTAATATTTCAATAGTGGCAATAGTGGCCATTTCGATAGTGGCCATTGTTTGATAGTGAACTGTTTAATTTTGCCGGGTGATGACTACTAAGACCAGTATTCCTCGCAGGCATCAAGCCTTGTGACGCCATTTATCATAATGTCTATTGACAAAATTCCCCAACAACATGAAGTGCATGTCTATGTTTGCCCAAGGGTTTGGGGAAATATATTGACTAGTATTTCAGACCAGTACATTCAACTTTTTCGTTGTATTTTGACACACTTTTCAATGTTTTATATGCAGGTAATAGAAAATTTGGCTAACGTTTGTTTAGGGACGGACCATTAGAAAAGTGATGGGGGGGGGAGTGGGGGAAAAAAATTATTTCCAGAAAAAAATTAGGGGAAAAAAATCTCTCCAGGCACAGTGCAAAAAACAAATTCCTTGTTTGGAAGATAAGCCTATAAAGTTCACTTAAAAAAATATTTCCAGCCATCAATTGAGAAAAAAAAAAATTCTTCTATAGGTGTACAAAAAAAAAATTACCTCTTAGAAAATCCCCCACATCACTTTTCTAATGCTCCGCCCCTTAGTACCTAATTGTTGGAATTACAGCTTTAGATAACTCACATGCCTAGTTACTATTGTTCTAGTTTACAGAAACATAGAATAGAAAAAAGGTAACTAAGCTTTAGAATCATCTAAATGAGTGAATAACTCTTATACATAACTCTAATGCTATAGTTACTTTTGTTATATTCTGTGGTTCTGTAAATTAAAATAATTGTAACTAGGCATATGAAATGGCACGGGTGGACAAAATATGTTAATTTCTGTGACCGCAAGAAAACATTGACAATTTCTGCAAATAATCGAGTAAAATTATGACACTTTGGACACTGTAACTGTGTTACACCAACAACTGAATGCCATGCTATATTTTGACAGACAAAAATTAATTTCATTGCATTGAGAGAATCTTAATAGGGATATAACATAAAACTAATGTAGATATGTACAGTGACATGCATCAGGGGTCTGATCTTAAGGAAATACATGGACAAGAGTACAACTTGGGGGGGGGGGAGGGGTGCTACCAAGGGGATGAAAATTGGGTGTCTCATATTGGCCAAAAATTCATTTACCATACAACAATTGTTATATCATTCTATATAATCTACTTGTGTAATTATACTATAATAATGACTACCGCCAATTGCAAATTTACAACTGGGGGTGGGGTCCTACAGTAGTCACCTAACATTAAGTGATTACTATTAAATTAATAACTGCATGACAACAATGTTTAATCTTCTAACAGGTAGGAAGTCAGATTTATATGGCCAGAAAAAGCCTGCATGTATATTCTACAAGAGAAGAAGAGAAGGTTATGTTAATGTCTTCAATAATGAAAAAGCTCAACATTCCTTCACTGCTAAGTTTGTTTAAACAACTTAGAAAATTATCAGTTATAACAGCTTCTTGGCTGACAAACACAAACTCGTACTGACAGTTGGATTGTTTCAAATTATGCACAATGTTTAGCCTTTCACTGTCACTCAACATAGTGTTATAATAACATGTGTTGATGCCATGTTTTTGCAGCCTTGACACTTGGTCGTACATCAACATTATGAGAGGCGACACAACAATAGCAATACCAGGAGCCATAATGCATGGAAGTGCATATGTCACAGTTTTTCCACCTCCAGTGGGTATGAGGACAATTTTGTCTTTTCCAGAAATAAAACTTCTGATTGCTTCTTCTTGTCCAGGTTTAAAATCCCGATGTCCAAAAACGCTTTGGAGCACTTCTAATAGAGTTTTACCTTTCACGCTAAAGTTCATACTTGACGTATCATCATCTAACCAGTCATGGGGTAATGCTGTAGTAGTATGTTGTTTTGGTAGACATGTGTGCTACAATAAAAAAGCAAGGATAGTAATTAAACATTGGTAATGGTAATTGGAGTTCATAGGTTTTAGAAAATTATCATGATATCTATGAAGAATTATTTCAATTCTTCATTAGCCCATTGAGCGGCAATGCACCCCAGTGCGCCCTACTTTTTTTTGTACTTGTCCAACGTCAGACGACTTTACTCGTCAATTGGGAAGCTCTGCAGCTTAATGGGTTAGTATGCTTTATATTCAGTAGAGAATACAGTACTAATGATTCAGACAACTCACTCTAATTGCTACCAAGCTCACTATGAGACAGTTTATAGCATATAAAGCATACAAATAATGGAATCTTTGTAGATGAGATCATTTTCTAACAATGTATTACACCTAGTATCAAAATAATGGTTACTTTTGATTATTGTTGTTATTATAAAAACAATAGAAACTTGTTGAAAATAGATACTGTCTAACTGTTCTTTTGTATTAAATATTTATTCCTACATTTCATCTCACCCTGCCTAATTTTAGTCCAACTTATACATCTCATTCATTTATTTAACCCATTGAGTGGCAGCGCTCTCCCACTGACAAGTAAAATTGTCTGACATTAAACAGAGTAAAATAGTCAGGCATTATACAGAGTAAAATAATAAAGTCGGGCGCACCCAGGCGCATTGCCATTTTTATTGTAACCATGTGCAATGCATTCTTGTATATACTTTTTCAGTCAGTTTTAACCAGGTTTTTAATTTTGCAAACAATTATTATGGATTACACCGGGTTAATAACCAAGTAGCCTGCATTTTTTCGAAATATGCAGTAATATGGAATAACAAAAATCCATTAGTACCATGCACTCTGTCAATGACAAGTAACATTGTCTGGTATATTAGAAAAAGTAATGTAACGAAGGGCATATGCTACTTGGTTATTAATCCTGTCTAATGCATAAAAAGTGTTGGCACTCAATTGGTTAACCAGATAATGTTCCCTTGCAGTGATGGATTTATAGGGGGTAGGACCCTGTTGGCCTTGATCTACTGGGGTCCAAAAAAAAAATTATCTTACTTTTTAATGTTTGAGGCATTAGTATGAAGAGAATTGGGAGTTTATATTTTATATGATGTTAAATTATGTTTATTCAACGTTATATCTGTAAATTCTAACCAAGATAATACTAGGTGCACTTTCATGACAATATGTTGCTGGCCAGTTAGATGGGTTCAGTGTGCTTGGCTGCTCATTCAGCACCGCCCTAAAAAACCTTATTGGCTCTACCTTCCCTTGTGTCTTGTTAACCTTGTGTCTTGGTATGGACCAGTTAAAAGGAGTTGGCTATGCTCTGTATACGTAATGGTAAGTATTGCAGGCATTTTGGTAGCAGTTGCCCCCCCCCCCCTACCCTTTGCTTTCTCCACCAATGCCAGTCATTGTTTTCAATTTTTTATACTTTCTGCAATGATGAAGATACCTGTGACTTGTACCTGACAGTGTAAACGTTGTAATGAATTACATAGCATTGTAATATATGATATAAAACTTACTCTTTTAGGTGTAATAAAACATTCAGCATAAACTTTATCTACAGCATCCCATAACTTAAAACACTGGCCATGACTGTCATTAGTGTTTCCTTTTAGAACAATTTTAACTAGGCAAGAAGTCCTTCCCAAATGCTTTAAAAGGCCGTGATGTTTAAGTAGGCACCATTTAATATAGGCACCCTTCAATCCCCCTTAGGATGCAATTGCAATTGGATGCAATTTGTGGTCATTGTGGAAGTTACCCCAGAGGACATCTTATACTAACCTCTTTAAGATATCACTTTTTCCCTCTTCAATATCACTAAAATACATATTTTTTTGCCGTTTTTTTTAAAATCTCAAGCTACCCGGCCCTCTTTAAATATGAAAATTTAAAATGAAGACCCCTTCTCCCCCATTGGATGTGCGCTCCAACTATTGAAGTGTCTGGATATATTAAATGGAATGTCAATGTCGCAATAGTTTCCTAATTTCCAGTAATACAATATTATAATATTAAACAATCCTCAAGCTATATTCTCACATTTTCATATGCAGTAAACTGTTCTGTCTGTTCATTAAACCAACCTGATGATTCATATATAAACTCCAAATAAAATATTAAATTACAATTGAAACACTTCTCGTGTAAATTATTGACTGAAATATTTGTTTGAAAACTTCTACATGGACTTTTATGTCTTATCAAAACAAGACTTTATATAAAAGATTATAGACATATAAAATGACGAGGTACATGTATTCTTACCGTATTTAGTCGAAGAGCGGATAGTTGCTTTAATATTTTGGATGTTTCTTGGCCATGTAGGTTTTGGAAAAGCATTTTACAATGCTTGGTTATGCCTTCATCTAGCACCAACTGACTGTGCTTCACTCTAAAATGCTGCGTTAAGCCGTTATCTTCAATGAAAAATTTAATGTCATTCGTATCGTCAAAACACGCTGAACATATTGTCTTGCCGTTTACTTTCGCCTCTTGAAATGGTCTATTTGCCAATGACAAAACAATCTCATTTGCATTTGCATTCACGGCCATTTTGTTCAATATTCATGAGCAAGGAATGCGTTCCAGTCTTCGCTCGGAAATATGACGCCATGTTGGATACATTAAATGGCAGAGGCTTCCTCAATTTCATTCTTCCCGTCACCCCCCGCGTGCCCACTTCTCTGCCTAGCCCGCTACTGCCCGCAAGTCAAACTTTATATATAGAAAGAAAACAAAAAAGCCTCTGCGGAGGAGAGTGGTATATCACTACTTTCGGTGGTGGTTAGTAATGGCTGTTGTTCTTTCGTGCAAATAGATGTGTGATGTTTCTGGTTACAAAGTTGACAATTTAAGGTACTTTTGCAGTCTGATGCACGATGTTTTGCACCAGTACAGTTAAAACAAAGTCTACGCTCGGCGAGAAATTTCTTTTGGGCTGAAACTGAGGACATTTTCGGACAACTTTTTGACAAATGGCTACTATCTTCACAATAAACACAAACTCACTTTTTTCGATCACCGTCCTTTGTATGATAAAAATCAGATCGTGGTCCAAACCGTTTTGGTGGTGATTTGTTATTATCTTGATAATTATTCTCAATTGGATTAACATTTTTCCACGTTTTCAACTACTAACCGCGAGAGGTCCCAGTCTTGCCACCCTTCTTCCTCCCGAACTAGGTCAGCTTTAATTCCCTTTAGTTTATCCAATACATTTCTCGTTGTACCATTGACCCTCTCTATTTTCCCCAATGTTTCTAACGACTGAACGTTATGAGAAAGTGTTTTGTAAAACTCATGCACTTTCGCTGGACTTGATCCAGTTATAACAGGTAGGCCCATAATATTTTAAATGTGAGCATTGATAATCTCGCTGGATTTTCTGTACTCACTCTTTAATACATTCTTGGCTCTCTCATATCCTTCAGTCGTAAAGGGTAACCCATCAATATCTACTCGTACTTTTGGTTCTAATAATTCTTTTAGATAACCAAACTTTGAAACTGAGGGTAGTAGGTTGACTGAGTCTATCTCAGCTTCAAAAGTGTTCCAAAATGGAAGCCAATCAGAAAATTTACTGCTAAATTTCGTTATTGCTAATTTAGGTAATTTAATATTTTTTACCTCTTTGGATTTTTCCACCGATGTTTCCATGGATTTCTGGAATTTCATATTCTGCTGTAGAATCTGATCTTGGTGCTCCAACTCGCGCTGATGTTCCGCCTCCTTGTGAACTCGTTCCAGTTCTAGTCTTGCCTTTTCGATCGCTAATTGTTTCTCGGTTTCAGCGTCAATAGCCATACGTAAATTCGTTTCGTCGTTTTCACGTTCAGCAAGTATTTCCTCTTCTTCGATTTCTACTAACACACGTTTAATATTTTCAACATTCGATTTGGCTTCATTTAATTTAGTCTCACAGTCATTAGCCCACGCATGTACATTTTCTTCGCTGTCCTTTTGTATAAATTTAAGTTCCTCGATTTCCTCTTGAAGCGCATACATTGCGCTAATTTTCTTTGAGATAGATATTTCCTTACGTTTTAATGGTTGTTTCTCTCGTGCAGTCAAAATATCGTCCATATTTCCCACTACAAAGTTTAAAGCTTTGAATTTTCCAGCTAAATCACAATTCACACTCACTTTATCATAAGCTCGTCTTTACATTGACATTATTGTATATATCACTTAATTTCCTGTATAGTTTTACCTATGTTCTTTTCACTCGTATGTATATATAGTTTTACCAAGGCGCTCTCGACTATATGTTTTTCTCAACACATACTTCTCAACACTAATCTTTTATCACTAATGTTTTCATGCATTTCCAATCCCTTCTATTTACCTTTGGTACCAGGCACACATTGACACGAACCTTACACAAGTAATTGGTACCCCTTGGTACAAGTTGCCAATGTCCTGGTACCCCTTGGTACGAGTTGTCACCTTGACTGCCCTAAGCTAGTTATAATATTCTAAAGTTCTAATTATTAAGTATAATATTGTTTTATTCTTACTATAAATGTACTAGTTTTCAACAAATGCAAGATATCATTTAGAATACAAATATATACAAGAAATAGTGATATTTAATTATCTTCGGTTCTGCTTGTTGGTTTATCATACTTTTTACCTGACTTTATATCAGAGAAAAGCCCATGTGTCTCTAGTAGGCTAGTGTTCGATGGGTGACAACTATATTATCATATTACGGAGTGAACAATAACACAACATATAGGCCAACATAACACTTGCAGAACTAGTATGGTTCGATGCAGAATTTTAATATAAATGAGTATGTTCATGACATTCAGCATATAGTTCATAATTTCCAGTCTTAATATAAATCCGTCTGACCGTGTAGCTCAGTTGGTAAAGCGTCGATCTAGTAATTCGAAGGTCGCGGGTTCAAGACCCAGCCGCGGCAGACAATATCTTTCTGGTTGCACTTGCGCTGGGTATGGAAATTATGAAATACACACTTGAGAACATTTTCAACTTTTCAACTTACTGCATAATCCCAGTGCTGTGTGATGCATTCTGCATCCTTGTCCTCGAACATAAATTTGTCAATGCACTCCAAAATTTCCTTACAGCATCTATATTCTCTAGCGTCCTGCAATAATTCATCGCTACTATGTCCACATGAGCACCTTAAAATAAACTCGCATATCAGATGAAACAGGGTAATAAATAGTCCAGGAACGGGTTAATATAATAATACTTTCATAACTTTACTTACCATGAATTAACAGCTACATTTTTCTTAAATCTCGCCTCAAGAGTATCATGAAGAATGCTGCCTTTGTCTGTTTGGTCTTCCTCGTAGTCACTATATGCGACTAGCTCAAATTGATATGGCTGAACAACAGACGATTGCTCAGCGACGTCCTCATTATCTGTCGACCCTTCTGTCTCTGTCTGTGATTCAAAGCTTTCGTTATCGGACATTTTTATAGCGAAATATAAAGGCAACTGTCTGATGTTTGTGTTATTTTGTTGTTTTCGTATAGTGAAACACTTCGGCGTGTCATACTGCATACGTCACAAGGCCTGGAACTCTAGGTACCAGTCTTTCGCCAGTAGATAGTCGAAAAAGCGAACTGTAATCGTAAAATTAACAAACTTCTGGTTCGAATTTTTCAACAAGGTTTGTATTTTTATGATCGGAAAAGACCAAATTTTCAGAAAATGCAAAAAAAACGATATCGAAATTTTCATTTCATATACACTTTAAAGATCAAGAATACCAATGAGTCAAGGCATTCAGAAGAAAATGAATGTGATAAGCAAGCTAGACTTAACAAAGCTAATGAGTATAATAAAAGAAAGCGGTCAAAGGAAACTGAAGCCAGAAACAAATTAGACTTCAAAACGATAGAGAGTCTAAAAAAAGAAAGCGGTCAATAAAAACTGAGAGTGAAAGACAAATAAGACTTCAAAAAGATAGTGAGTCTAAAAAACGAAAGCGGGCAAAACAAGTGTCACAGCTGCACAATGAAATAAACCAACAGAATTATTTAACTATGTTTGACATCACCAATAATGGTGGTATTGAAGAGCAATGTTGGGCAAATGCTAACATAAATAAGTTTCATACCACCATGCAATACATTGTCAGTCAATGTACAGTATGTCAAGAGGCATGGCCTTTGAAATCCAAACCAAGATCATCTTATGTGTGTTTACGATGCTCAAGAGATAAAAAATTCATCTGAAAACTCAATGATACCTTCATCTGTGCCGCATGAATTGCAAAATTTAATAATGTGCTGAAAAACTCTTCGATTTGAAAATCATTTAGTTGACTCCTTAGTGCCGCCATTTTTTTTTTGTGTTATTTTTACTTTTGTTTCCTGCCAGACGATCCCCTCAGGTACATTAATGCCTGGGTCTCAGTTTGTGTATTTAGCGAAAATAGACAAAAAATCATAAAAAAATAAATATGGCCTTCATTATTACCATTCAAGTTTTATACGATTTATCAAAGGAGATTCTAAAAGTTGACCTACTTTTCGTTGTCATGGCAACGATCACGTGATGTATATTTCGAAAAACAACACAAAAAATGATACGTTTTATTCAGAGGCTCTGTAGCAGTATAATTTGTGACTGAGAGGACGCAGAATTGCGATAATCATTCACACATAATATCACTGTTTATTGAATAAATCCGGAAACTTTACATTTAGGGTTCGTTTCATTATTTTATGCGGCTATATTACGATGATCGGCATCAAATGAATGTTAATCGCGTCATTAAATGTTATCTACAATTAAATGTGCGGTTAACAAATTAACGCAGGAAACTTTGTTCCCTTGTTAATATTTTTAGCTAACAAAAATAGCAAAATTTCGTCAAATTACCCTGCTGCAAGTCGAACGCGTTTTTCGCGTGATGAATTTCACATGCCATAATGAAACAGTCTGCCGCTTATTGTAATGGATATTATATTTCCAATAACAACATTCATTGCGCATTCAAGCCGATATCTTGAAGCATAGTTAATGCTTGAAGGGAAGTATGCCATGGTGGAAAAGACCAAGTGAACTATATGTGCTATTAATTTGTAATTCACAAGCAATTTTTCATTGAAAATAAGAAACAGTCAACAATTAATACTGAATAATCGCAAGATAGCGCACTATAAGAAGCTTTTTTTTATCAGCAGTTCAAAGGTCAGCTGTCGCAATGATACAATACTTATTGCTATACAAAGAGTCAATTATGACATAAAAACTGAATAGTATACCGACTTCTTTGCATTGTATATTCCAAAATAATCCTGTCGCTCATATACACTATATTCTAACAGACAAGTTACTGACAGATCGCGCGTGCAACACGCGCGCAAGATATCATCCAAGCGTGGGCAGACCCAGGCATTAACATGCCTGAGCCTCCAGTTTACTTCCGTTTTACAATTTCTTGTGTTCAAAATATTTTTGTGTGCCAGTATGGTCGCTAGGAGATCTGATTGAATTTGTGTGCCGGTAGGTTAAGGTAACACAATATCTTGATCCACCAAAAGAAGATACAGACATTGGACCACAGATGTCGCTATGGACAAATTTGAATGGATCACTACCAACGATAATCAGCAGTCTTCGGATAAGGACAGCGATGATGCTTTACCTTGATACATGCTTCACAGAATTGATTTTCATTTGTTTTGCTTACACTGTCCATTCCATGTACTATATTTTCGTCAGTAAGTTTGTTCCCATTATTCATTCCCAGATGGCCAAGTCTACAGTGCCACAAATACTGATCTGTATCAGGTTGTTGTTTGGCAATGCTCACATGCTCTTTCACAATATTCAAGACAAAAAAGTTTCCTTGGATCTCTCCCACAGCTAAAATCTTCAAATTCATCACGTTTCACCATTATTGCATGGACTTCACAGCAAGTTCTTAACTAACTCTGGCAGGTACAATACTTCTTGCAATTCTATGTGTTGAATGTGGTCATCCACAACAGTTTTCACATGATAGGTTCCCTTTCCATGTGCAAGGATTCATCTATTATCAATGAGGATCACTGAGATGCACACTACATGGTTCCTTGAATTCCACATAGTTGGACAGACGATTTCTTTCTAAAGTCATGTGTTGAGTTGCACCTGAGTCAATAATAGGTGAACTCATGTGAAGCCTCCTTGTAAACACTATACTTCAATATACAAAGAAGCTTTAATTTCGAAGCAATACTTCACGGTTTTTTATATCTTTTTGCAATGTCTTCGAAGGATGCATCAAGGCTTCTTCGTTTGCATCAGAGAACGATTATTTATCAGAATATGACGAAATGTCAGGGATAGAAGCCGATATATCTGGTTTCAAGCAATGATGCCTTGCCATGAAATAATCTTTAATGTAAATATGTTTATTATAATTGTATAGTATAGTATAGTCTAATACTGTATAGTATTGGTATTGGTATAAACAAAATTTGTGACTTATGACTCATTGTGACTCAAGGATCATCAACCCAAGCATAGGCCACTCATGTTGTCAATATTACATAATTTATATTAGGTGCAAATGTGAAAATTGTAGCCTGGAGTTTTTGAGCAATTAGCAAGAATGCAATATTGCTGTTGTGAGCTGGAATGATGCTACCTTAACCATTTAATAATAAGCTGCTATGCACCCTACCTACAAATCTCTCTAACACCAGGCAATTTTATTTGACAAAGGAACATGCGGAACTATATGTTCATGGACTTTCCCTAATCAGCAGTGTTAGGCAGAGTAAAATTACAGAACACCATTTTTTTCATACCGGGTGGCCCAAAAAAAAGTACTCCTGTTTGATTCATAATAACATCTAAAGAGAAATAACTTGCATCAAATAGAGGAAGGACTAACTTAGACTTTGATATATTACAGTTGTATTTCACTTAAAAATTCACAGAGATATTAATCTTTAAATTCGGGAGGATATTTCTGGATGTGTCTGAAATATGCAAAAATCGGCGTATCAAATATTAATCAAGATTTGCCCGACTGAAACATGCACTACTACCAGTAAATAAATGACACTTGACAAATTGTTTATTATGAAACAAAGTATTATTATATCTACAAAATACAAGCAAGATTCATTCGTCCGAAATTCGCGTGTGTTCCTAGCACGAATACGTTTCCTTATTTCATGAGACCACTGTATCGCGAAGGATCGTCATTGGATCGTTCGTAGTTCTGAATTAGGGCATGCTGTCACAACGGAATTGTGAAGCTCTTCTAACTTCTGCAACGTTCTGAAATCTTGTTAAGAACACCCAAACTCTTTTGCCGTTTCTTAATCTTGGCAAGTTCATGGAGTAAACTGAGAATTATATGAAACACAATCAATCCATACAACTCCATAAGACATAACAATTAAGCAACTCCCCAGAGACATGCAACATTTTTGGAACAAAACGTAACAAAATAGTAGCGTTGATACGGTGATGTGTATTTGCAAAAAGCAACATTATTTCCTTCAATAAAGAATATTCATCCTGCTCTAACCGAGAAATAATCTACTCAGTCTGTTTGAACCCATTAAAAACATAAAAAAATTAGGCTATTTAAGAATACGAAAAATTTAAGCGCCTGCCTTCCATGGTCAGTCTTTCATGTACATTTAAGTTTGCAAAGACCGTAAGGACCATCTAGTAAGATGTCTAAATCTACGCCATATCCCTTACAAACCTTAACGATAATTCGCTGAAATACAAGTTAGCCTAATATGTCATTAAGCAAACAAACGCTGGAGTTAATATTTGATATGCCGATTTTCGCTAATTTTAGACACATTCCAAAATATGCTCCCCATTTTTAACATTAATATCTCCGAGAATTTTTAAGTTAAATACAACTGTAATATATCAAAATCTAAGTTAGTCCTTCCTCTATTTAATGCAAGTTATTTCTCTTTAAAAACTTTACTTGTTTAGAAGTTATTACGAATCAAACAGGAGTACTTTTTTTTGGGCCACCGGGTATATATATATATATATATATATATATATATATATATATATATATATATATATATATATATATATATATATATATATATATATATATATATATGTTAATGTTAATTGCGTTGTTAAACACTCAGTAATATGTTAAGATGAAAATGTGCTAGAGTGTGTATGATATAATTTCCATACCCAGCGCAAGCAGAAAGATGTTGTCTGCCGCGGCTGGGTCTTGAACCCGAGACCTTCGAATTACTAGATCGACGCTCTACCAACTGAGCTACACGGTCAGACGGATTTAAGACTGGAAATTATGAAATATATACTGAATGTCATAAACATACTCGTTTATTCAGTATATATTTCATTAATTCCAGTCTTAAATCCGTTTGACCGTGTAGCTCAGTTGGTAGAGCGTCGATCTAGTAATTCGAAGGTCGCGGGTTCAAGACCCAGCCGCGGCAGACTTTATCTTTCTGCTTACGCTGGGTATGGAAATTATATCATACACACTCGAGAACATTTTCACCTTAACATATTACGGAGTGTACAATTACACAACTCAACATAACACTTGCAGAACTAGTATTGTTCGATGCTGAATTAATATAAACGAGTATGTTTATGACATTCAGTATATATATTTCATAATTTCCAGTCTTAAATCCGTCTGACCGTGTAGCTCAGTTGGTAGAGCGACGCGTCGATCTAGTAATTCGATGGTCGCGGGTTCAAGACCCAGCTGCGGCAGACAACATCTTTCTGCTTGCGCTAAGGTATGGAAATTATATAATACACACTCTAGAACATTTTCATTTGCACGGTTTAGCACGTGCACCAAATTATATTTCACCCAAGTGTTTTAACGCGTGCGGTAATCCACGTTATACAGTGAATTGCGTAGCAACCATATAAATAAGCCAATAAATAAATATATATATAAATTTTTCTTACAGAAGAGCTGTGAGCTGCATGGAATAGTTTAGATGATCATAATCAAAGTAACGTTAAAAAACATCATCGTCCTTCAAAAAACATCTATAAATAACTAATCTCCAATTCTTTAACTTTGTAAAATTTCTATTATTTATGTTAATTTGTTAGAATTATAAATTAAGTCGAAAATTAAAAAAAATTGAAAACAGTTGTTTTGAACATTTAAAAACGCAGGATTTTAACTTTCAATTTTTTAAAATATAAAACGATAACAACACATTTTCAGATATTAATATATAACAAGACGAAAACAGAGTGCACTTTTTATAGTCCAGTTTCACTTTAGTTTTCCAACTCTGCATGCATGAGTAGATAGAATTTTGGACCAACATTTGTATGTCGTTTTAGATCCAGTTGGGAGCGGCCAGAGTCCGAATTCGACTGCATCACCAAGGTTGGTGTTTTTTTTTCTTGATACGAATGACGGAGTTGATAGCACAGTCAGTACTTCGCCGCTGTATGTACTTTCTGCCTCTAGGGAGAATGGGGGGTCCGGACCATAGAAATAATAGTTATCTATTATTTCTATGGTCCGGACCTTCGTATCTAAAATGCATGAAATAATGTTTCACAGACCCTAGCTAAAAATAGAAATGTTTTCCAGGAGACCATCCCCCGGACGGACGATTAGACCCCCCCCCCCTCTCGTGTGGGGCTGGCTACGTCCCTCGTAACTGGGTGTGATTCATTCGATATGCTGTTGTGTATTAAGCCTTGTACAGACGGGCAATTGTTTCTTTACAATTTTTATTTGCTCGTTTGAAGAAATAATTGGCAATTTTTTTCTTCAAAACCGATCTACATGCAGAACAGTTAAAAACTGATGTAACTGTCCTGTACAAATCCTGTAGGCCTAATTCTTTGATTTTAATTATACTAATGGTGACCTTATTCTTTTATTGCAGCACACTGCCTTCTAAAGGTACATTTTATGCATTTAATCTCTTATGGTAAAATTTTATTTTCACATGATTGGATCGGAGAAATATTTATATGTGAGCTGGTCGAAAGATTGTAAGATATCATTGAACGATAAAAAACGTCTGTAAACAAACTGAAAGTTAGTATTAACACTGGATCGATAAGAGATGATCCTTACGACTGGACCTCTAGGAAGAATAGTTTAGAACTGATAGAGCTATTAAATATAAATAAAATTAATTTAGTTTGATTCCTCTTGTAATAACACTAAATCAATAAAAGATGATCCTTAGTGGACCTGTACGAAGGACAGTTTAGAACTAATAGAGCTATCCAGTATAAATAAAATTAATTTAGTTTAGATTTATTTATTATCCTTTGCCAATTTCACACAATCTGCACAGATACAAACACAAGAATATAAAGAATATACAACTTATCAATTATAACAGGTATATCCTGCAGCCTACGCCATTTACAGTAGCCCTTACATAACGAACATGACACATTTTTCATTAAATATTTAGTAATATAAAAATTTCCACCCAGAAAAACCCTCCACAGAATAGGAACGGAAAGGAAAATTACGTTATTTATTTATTTATTTATTTATTTATTTATTTATTACGTTATTAATTTAGTTTGGGTTCCTCCTGTAGTAACACAGGATCAATAAAAATTCACCATTATATTAGTGGACCTTTAAGGAGAATCCGGTCCTTTGAAAACTATGCTGAAATAACGAATAAATTTAAACGATAATTTCTTCATCTGTTTTTACCGTTAAGTTCCATCATTGGAATCAGATATTCTATCAGGAAACACCTCAGATTATTGGCGAGTACTAAAAATGTGGATCGGAGGAAACAGTACTTGGAAGCTCTGTTGGCGAGCGACTAGAGACGGATGGGCAGCCAAAACCTTTCACTCAAACTGCGACTACAAGAATCGTACAGTAACATTAGTGGAAGTTGGTCAATATATCTTTGGTGGCTACGCTACGGCATCTTGGGAAGGTAAGATCAGTGAGCTCCATATCTCTCTGGAGCGTGAACACCAATCCAAAAAGTGAATCCATGCAAGATGGCGGAAATTGAAGAGTTATTGGACTTCAGTTCCGGTCCTTTTCTATTGTTTTTGTCTGCGCGGTTAACATGCACGAAGCTGCCAAGGCGTGTGCCGAAATTTCGTCTTTTGACATCGATTTAACGAATCACACTATAGTTTTATGAACTGATATAACTTGTTTGGGGATACGGTCCGTTCGAAAAACCTGGAATTACTGTAGCTGGGGAAAATGGAACATACTATACAGAAAACATTTTTTCTGTGTTTCTATGCAGTTATTGAAATATTTATGGTAGTTTGGGAGAATTCGAAATAACGTGGAAAAAACTCGTCTTTCCACTGATTATTTTTCGTTTTCCCAAATAGTTCCGCGCGTGTTTGTTTTCTATGTCTTCTATATATTAAGAGGAGAATCTTTTGTTTTGTTACGCATAACACGCGCTCAAAACTAATGAATATATTTTCCCACTTGCCGGTTATGACTATATTCATTTTTTATTTTTGATATGTTTCTCAAGCGGCAAACAAGTTTAAAGAGTATATGTAAATAAAAGTGCTTTATCTGTAAAATGATGAGATTTTTGAAATTGCATGAAATAAGAGCGAATATGGGCAACAAGATTGTTGGGTCTACATATTAACGCAAATCTCACTTGGAATGACCATATAAAATCCGGTTCTCATCTACCACCTGCTATGCACTCTTATATCACTCTTAGGAAAATAAAACATTTCACTCCTTTTTACTGTCAACCACCAGACACATTTAAACATTCAAATGTTATTATGTATAAACTACAAAATAAAGCTAAGAACAAAGTAATTTTGAGAGGAACGCCCCAAAAATTTAGGGTTTGAACTCTTTTTTCACAAAGAAAACATGCCTCTTAACCACACATATGAACCGAACAATTTTTACTCTATACAACAGGCTTTCGCCGCTGGAAAAAGGCCGGAGGATCTTTCTTATTTTCTTTACGAAATAAAGAAAATCTCTAGCCGTTTACGGCTCCACTGAAAGATGAGAATACCTGGCACGCAATTTATGCAGATCACAGATACGGACCAATATTTGGATATGGTCATGATCTTTACATAGCTGACAATGCTCTTTCGAGTACAACGAGTCATTCAAGCACAAATTTTAATACGACCTACCAACCTCGTTCTGGCATCAGCGGTAAGGTTATCAAAATCTTGGCTGGATCATTCAGATTTTCCCCTTCCGAAATTGAAGTTTTTCATCTTGTGTAGAACTGATATAAATGTAATAATTCGTAACAATTTTTTTAACAATGATTCAATTTACAATATATAGCATGCTGATTGCTGACAAATATTAATTAACCTGATTAATATGCATTATTGTTACGTCATCATACGTATATAACCACATGTATTGCACTTGTATATTCACAGTATGTTGGCCTAGTATAGCTACGGCGTGTAAGTCCTTATATATTACTGAATAAAGCTTTTAAATAAATATTACGCAATTAAAATACTAAACGAATTCTTTTTATGAAATAAAAATTGGGGTATCTGACCTTATTTTCAAATTAAATAAGTTGAAACCCAGCGAAGTATCGGCCATATTGAATCGTTCCATTTTTTCGAAAAATCCAACTCTGCGATAAAATATAATAGTTTTGTTTGTGGAAACACCACGTAAATTTATTACTGCAAAGAATGCAAAGCTTTCGATCCTTAAGCCCGGATCTTCATCAGTGCTAATAATATGTAGTTATTATATTTTCTAGTCGGACTTTCTTTGCCTTTTTAACAAATAGGAATTGTTGAAAAATTGGGTCTAAATCGGAGATCTCCCCAGTTTCTAGTAAACTGTAGAGAGCCACCTTAACATGTTTATTTCGTAAAACAAATGTTAACAAACTCGCAGCAAGGTTTTCCACCAAGTCTGGTATCGTCTGCACGCGTAACAAGTTGTTAAAAAGTTGATGACAACAAGCTCGTAAAGCAACTTGTTATACGCGGAACAGCCTGAACTACACACGTAAAAACGCACAAGTTGTTACAGGTCTGCAAACAAGTTGTTACAAATCTGTTCACAAGCTGTCAACAAGTTGTGTTCGCACTGCTTGTTCCCAGTTGTTGCAACAAGTTTGGAACAAGCTGTTAACAACTTGTAACAAGCTTGATGGCATTGATCAGACTTGTCACAAGGTTATTCTAACAAGTCTGATATAGTATCATGATATACCAAGAATGTAACAAGGTTGATGACCTGACAAGTTGTAACAATATTGTAATATCATGACTGTATCGGACTTGTTAGAACAACCTTGTAACAAGCCTGATAATATCAACAAGATTGTTACAAATTGTTAACAGCTTGTTCAAAACTTGTCGACAACTTGTGACAAGCTAAGCAGTGCGAAGACAACTTGTAGACGGCTTGTTGGCAGACTTGCTAGACAGAGATTATTGCGTGTGTAGCAGTACTACAATCACTTTCAAAAGTTGTTGGGACAGATGTAATTAAAAGTGTAAGGGGATCATTACAATTTGTTACACACAATACCCCTCCCCAGTCAATCTTGTCTTCTCAATTTAAATACCAAACCGCATCAAATCTGACGAAAAATGGCGCAAAACATTGAACAGGGGGCGGGGGTTTGACGTTTGTTGAAATTAAAGGTTTTTGTAGCATCTGTCCCAAGATATTTGAAACTGATTGCAGTCTTATTGGAACAACTTGTAGCAAGAATGTTATCGTCGTCAAACTTGTAACAAGGTGACAACAACGTGTTCCAGACTTGTCACAACAATTGGAAAAAATTGAGCAGTGTGAACACATCCTGATATCGGCTTGGCAACAAACTTGTTGCAACTTGTTTGCAGCTCTGTAACAACTTCAGTGCGCGTTTTTTCGTGTGTAGTTCACTCATGTCGGATCTCACTAGCTATCGTAACGTCATTCAACGAAAGAAAATCGTCTAACGAGTAACGTAACGTTATACATTGAGAGACGCCAGTAGAAAATTAGCTTTAGCTCAACCACGCACAAATTACCTGAAAAATAGTTTTAGCTATAGTGGTTCTGTGCTGTGGAACTCCCTTCCGGTTGAGTTGAGACAGTCTAACTCATTACGTAAATTCAAGTCAGACTGCAGCAACTTTATACATTAGTCAATAATTTTAGATTTTTATATTAATATATTAGCGCGGCACTTATGGAAAACAGGTATTCTTGTAATATATAATTAGTATTAGTATAGTATGTATACATAATTAGTATCTTAATTAACTTTTATATTTTGTAATCTGTAACTATATTGTATTCTCTTATCATCTTTTATGTAAAATCCTGATAAGTCTACCGTGGGTAAATAAAGTTCACAATCACAATCAACAAACGAGTTTGTAAATAAATTTCAACAACAACGCCAGCTCTAGTAACGTTGGGAACCATAACCATTGTTAAGATTTTCAGCCAAGTGCTAACACGATACGCAAAACATGTATTGAACTCAGTGTAACAGAGTCGGCAGATAAGCAGGATAGGAGCGGCGAAAACTGGGGGCATGCTACCCCCGGAAAAATGTGAAGGCTCAGAAATGCCATTTCCTGAGTTTGCCGGGGTGAAATAATGCCCCTGTCTACAACAGACATTTGTGGTTTGTGGATTAAACAACTCTCATAGCAGAAATTCGGGACCGACGTTTGCCGGGACAGTCTCAAACAAAACTGGGACTGAAACTCCTGAATGATACTCTTTGATTGAAGCAAATCTCCATAATGTAAGCTTAATCCTTGAAAGAGGCTCACACGATCAAAGAAATTACTTTTGTATACTTTTATACAGAAAACTTCATCAAACTGTATTGAATATCGTCTTTTTTTACTCGCTAATGAAATAAATATTGGAATAAATATATTGCCCTTCTCTCTTTGTCTTGTCTTTTAAAATTCCTGTTTCGATCTAGAGTCTTCTAATAAATTCACAAACATTGCAATTAATACATTAAAAATACCATCAATAATTGCTTTGGTGGGCGTTGATAAAAGCTTGACAACATGCCAGCCTACAAGATGTTCACGGACTTCACGGGGCCAATATAGATACTTAGCAAATATTTTCAAAGGAATCTTCTCGCGTATACGGAATTCGTTATTTCTCTTTCGTATCAAATTTCAAGTCCACTTGTCAACAGGCTTGGCTGTTCGTGTGATTGGCGATGGAGTTCGCGTGTGTGTCAGCAATTGTAAACGTGAAAATGTATGTAAAATCGACTCGATTTTCCGTACTCATGCAATAATTCTAATTAGACGGCCTCCCATAGGTTTGTGTTGGCAATCCTTATAAAGTTATTTGCATATCCAACCACGGCATCGAAGGAGAAAATTAAGTTCCTGATTATGACTTAAGGAAATCCGAATACAGGGTGTATCAAAAAAAGCGCAACCTCGGAATTTCCCAAGTAATCGACATTGTTTTAAAGATAAAAGATTTTAGGCGCCTGGGAATTTAAAATAGCACAACTGTCAAAATTACTACACACGCCAGTGCATAAAGCAAAATTTATGCATTTATTTAATGCACGACAACAGTAATATGATCTATTAGCAATTCGATTTCAATTCCCAGGGGCCTAGAATCTTTTATGCTTAGGAATTGCAAAGTAATTTCTTAGGAAATTCCGAGGTTGCGTTTTTTTTATACACCCTGTAGAACAGCTAACTGAGCCGGATGGACTAAAACAGATGTTGTTTGATTAAAGGGCCCTAATTGTGACATTTTGGGGATCTAATATACCTACGAATTTGGTTTTGCGGATCGAAGCTGATATCCTAACCTTGTAGCCTGTTTATTTTATAATTGACTTGTGTAAATACAAGTGCTTTTGCTGTAAAGATGTCTGGGCCACGTTGCTGTATTATTGGTGTATGTTTTGTCGTTTTACAACTGATTTCTCCGTTAATGGCACAGGAAGGTACGTCGAATGTACATTTTAAAGTATATTGTATCAAGCTGGCTTCATAAGCGATTTTATAATGCAGTCAAAAGTTCGTTAATCTTCATTTAAGACAGTACATACTTCACAGTTGAGTGATATTTGATATATAGTTTGGATGTTATAACAATTAGCCATTTGGCCGCAGCATAAACTTTTATTATTATTGTTCTTTAAACACGGTAACCTTTCACATAGGTGATTTTCAAAGGGCCGTGCGGAAAATAAATGCATTATAAAAAAAGGAACTAATAAACTAATTTATACTTATTTACAAAATATACTTATTTACTTATTTACTTATTTACAAGATGTAATTATTTAGTAGATGATGGACAGATTTTAAACTTGTTGATTCTCTTAGGGTTTTCAACAAGTTTACTGGGATGTTGTTCCAATACGCTGCTCCTCTGTACGAAAAGCTATTTTTCGAGAAATTCGTTTTTTGGTTTAGGTTGAGACAGCTTTAAATTACTACTGCGCAGTACGTAACCATTGTTTTCGCAAGTGTGAAATAGTTGTGTTAGGGGCGGACCATTTGACTTTTGAGGGTGGAAGATTTCGAAAAAAAATTTCCTGCAACCAAAGGAGAAAGAAAAAAAAATATCATGCAGCACACAATCGAGAAAAAAAAATATGCAAAAGAGAGCGCTCAAAAAAAATTTTCTACATGTAACTCTACTGATGCTCTTCACTTCAGTATTGTGTCCACAGGCTTGCAAGATTTTGCATTTTTGAGCAGGCACATTTGCTTAAAAGAACACGGGGTGAACAGTGGATAACATCACAGGGATTCTACCGCCTTTGGAGCCTCTGACATACGATAGCCAGTGGTGTTCCCAGGCAAAATTGTTGCCCCCCCCTGAGAAAATCTGGGCTTAAGATAATTATCCATGGCTGAAAACGCAGGAAATTAAATAGCATTTCCGAGGTTCAAATTTTAAAATTTTCTCGGGGGAGCATGCCCCCGAACCCCCCAAGTTTACAGGTCATTCATATACTGTACCCTCCCCCATTTTCGGGTACTCTACTCTATCCCTGCATGTTTTAGGTTTTGGTGCAGTTATACATTCTTTGTAAGTAAACTTGCACGCTTTAGTGTGGGGAACATTAAGACATAACCATATATAAAATAAAGCACAGTGAAAATTCCTTGGCCCCTCTTGGGATTCAGTTCTCGGCCTCCTCTGACTGAAAACCCCTGCTACGTTTCCGATGATAGCTATATGAAAAGCCTAAAGTTACTGTAAGCCGTTATTATGAGAGGCAAAAAAAAATATCCTGCGGCCAAATATATTGGGAAAAAAATATCTTGCGCTGCACTTTTACAGGAAAAAATATCTGTCTCGTTCGCCTGGGCGGAAAAAAAATTCTTGCACAGACTGAATCTTCCACCTCCCCCCTCAAAAATCAAATGGTCCGCCCCTTACGTATTCTGGAAGCATGCCATTAATCGCTTTAAATGTCATAAGGAGATCTCGCTTTTTCAAAACTAAGTCAAGAGGTTTCCAGCTAAGTTTTTGAAAAATGTCCGAAGATCTTATAGTATAGTCCGAATTTGTTATTATTCTTGCTGCTCGTTTCTGAAGCTTATATAATTTGTCTAAGTGTGGTTGGTTGTTATTTTGCCAAACAGTTGAACAGTAGTTAAAATGAGGCGCGACTAATGCGTTATACATAATTTTGAGCGTATCTAGGCCAACAGAATCTTTGGCTTTTCTTAAAAGATTAATATTTTTTGATATCTTGTTGCATTGTTCTTCATTTTGCCTATTCCAGCTAAGTCTATCGTCTATAACTATACCCAAAGTTTCCTTTTTATAAACTCGTTCAATTTGATGTCCGTTTATACTGATTTTTGGCACGTGATCTAAGTTTTTCTATCGTTGCCGAGATCCAATAATCATATATTTGGTTTTTTCGTTGTTTAATGTTAGTTTATTCGCTGATAACCATTTTTGAGCATTTACTAGGTCTTTGTTAAGTTTGTATTCAATATCTGTGGATAAATGCCCTTGACATGATAAAATTGTGTCATCACAAATAAATTAGAGTGTGTTGTTTCTAGGCAGTTTGGGAGGTCGTTTATGTAAACGAGAAATAATAGAGGTCCAAGATTTGAACCCTGAGGTACTCCACAACGAATTGTTTCAATATCAGATTTACAGTTATTTAGCATGCAAATTTGCTTTCTTTGATCTAAATACGATTGGAACCATTTGAGCGTGTGATCGCGTATCCCATAAGCTTGTAGTTTTGACAATAGAATCTGGTGATCAATCGTATCAAATACTTTTTTCAGGTCTAAGAAAATAACCCCATTTATTTGACCCTGGTCCATTGAAGCATTAGTTTCCCAGAAAGAGCATTTCCGCCAGGCATAGGTAAGCTAGACGTTTTGCACCTTTCCCGAAAGATCATCTACCTCCCCGGGTAAGGTTATATTCAAATGATAACAACAACGACGACGACAACAAATGTTTATTTACCTACATATAAATAGTTACACGAAGATTTTAAGTTAACATGATATTTAAAAGTGTATAGGAGCTTCCTAAAATAACTAAAATAGTTATAGGAAGCCAGGAAACTGACATACTGAATTAAATTACATTACAGTCAAAGATACACTACTCATTGTACACACAAACACAAAACTATACTGTATTTACACATACACTGATACAAGTTCTACCACAGTTTTAATTATAATAAAATATTAAAACGAGTGAAAATTTGACAAATTTTTATCCACCAAAATCCAGCCTTGAGATGAAATTCTCAATTATATTTCTACCCGTAAAAAGACGTAGAACGGCTGTATTCATGATGTTCAAGCCACTGCAAGAAATGCTGGAACAGGCTGGAACAGTTTTTAAATATATTTCTGCTGTATGTAATGCATTTCAGGTGAGTTTATGACATGTGATAGTTTATGGTAGCTTTTGGCCTCACTCGAACACATCATTCATATAATGCTATACTGAAGGACAACTTTGTAAGCTAAAACAATTATTCACCTTCTTGCATTATTCAGCATTATTCACCTCCACTTTGGTGAATAATTGTTAATTGTTATATAGCTAGGGTGAACACCAAACGTGATTGTGTATCCCGCCGGGCAACAGGTGAAAATTGTTGCCCGCCCCGACCGGCATGCATAAATAAACAAAATGGCGGCACAACTAGCATAATTAGAAACTACGATTTTCCAAGTTTGTGTTCAAATAAAGAATGTAAAAGAGAAGAAAAATACACAACAGGCAACAGGATATGCTACTGAAACCGTTTTTAAAAGTCGGTTCTTTTAATTTTAAACTCGTTTACACTATAGAGTTTTTGTCACGAAATACAATTGTTGTTTGAATGTTGTTGAATGTCGATTTTTGTTCGTCGCTATATAACAAAACATTTAATGTCTGTTCCCTCGGGAAATAGTTGGTTTTGTTTTCCCTCGAATCTCAATGTTTCCTGTATAGCTCGACTTCGTCTCGGGAAACATTGAGACTCTTTGGAAAACAAAACAAACTATTTCAGGGGGGAGGCAAGGGGGAGGGGGGGATCTCGTCACGAAATCACAAAACAAAGTCTGAAACTATTTAACCATTTTCTAGACAGCAGAAATCGATGTTAACACAAACACATTTTACTGACTTTAACATTAGAGCTTTTAAAGAACTATCATGAAATTATTGCGAGGCACTACGAAACATTACGAGCGTCTTACGATGGTTCACGAAGTCTACGAAGAGGTACGAAGGTATGCGAAGCAAATTTATTCATTTTTTAACGTTAATCAATTAAGTTTGGGCCGAGTTTTAAACGTAAACATTCATAAGTTAGGGTAAAATATTGGTAAATTCAAGACCCCAGCTAGCCCTTTTAGCTCTTCACGATTCACGGAATGTTATTTCAAGCACGAATAATTGCTAATCATGGGTTACGAAAATACCCTTGCCCCCCCCCCTTCCTCTATTTCCCTCGAGAGCAGACATTTTAGCCGGTTTTCCACCAGCGATTTTTTTCGCGCGAAACGACCTTTTTGGATTGAGCATTATACGCGGTGCTTTCACCATTATACGCGGTGCTTTCAACATTCTGTGTATACTATAAATGAATATAACTCAGCGAATGCGCCAAAAGCAGTATAAACGTAAAACGTGTCTGAAATACAATATTAAAATCTTGAATGTGCCGTATGGATTTAATTTATGTTTTATAAGATTTAAAAGTGCTTCATCATTTGTATTTGTACTTGTACTGCATTACAAGGCAGTGCGTAAGTGAACAGCTTCCACATGTGAGGTTGTCTTGTATATATTTTTGCCTTCTTTGATAAACATTATTATTAAACGCGCAAATTTTAATAGTGAGACGCACAGTCGCACATGATAAATGTCACCTGCATGTCATTGTCATTGCCCTTTAACCCCTGGTACGTTCTTGAAAATGATGATGTATAAATTATGGATGATTCCAATTCATTACAAATATTTCTTGTTCTAATTGTTTTTTAAAATATTAAAGATTTGGGAACAAAGCTATACCAAGGCAGCATTCACTACCCTGTGGGGAAACTAGTATCAGATATAAAGTCACTCTACGTGACATATGGCTGACATGATTTGCCACAAGGTTTATGCATTACTAATTATTAATGAGCATTTTAAGTAGATATAGTGAGCGTGGTTGAAAAGCAGATCATCTGAAAGGCTACCATCCGTTGAAAATAAATATAAATAATAATCATAACAACAACCCCCCGTAGCTAAATTACGCACTTGAGAAATTTGAGCTTAACTCCGCCTAAATCTCTAGTGCGCGCTCTCTCAGGAACCGCTCAGTAGATCACGTACGAAACCGGTGCAAATTAAATGTTCGGATTAAAGGTCTGTATAATTTTCGACATTTTGGGATCGAACGAAGATTTGGTTTTGTCGATCGAAGCGCGAAATCGTAACCTGTTTATTTTCTCAAAGGATTTATAATCTTAGTATTTAAAGATGTCTGAGCCAAGTTGGTGTCTTATTGGCGCATTTGTTATCATCGTTTTTCAACAGATTGCTCCCATAGCGTCGCAGAAGCGTATGTAAAAACTAAATTTTAAAGTACCGTATGTTAAAACAAGTTACCCAGCTTTATGGCTAAGTGAACTTCGTGACTTGAAACAAATCACATAGTATTTAAAACACGAGCAGGAATGCTTTATCAGATCATTAAGCACGAGAGCGCAGCTCGAGTCAATTTTATATCTGATAACGCATGGACTGCGAGTGGTTTAAATGGCTTACAAAACGACCCATTATATATATCTGGCATGGTTTTGATGTCCCACAATCGTGAGGCATCAAAGGTAACTGTAAATAGCAGTTACTTTCATCCTGCTCATCAGCACTACACTGATGAGGCCCATAAGGCCGAAACGGTACCGTCTGTAGTTATATATATATATATATATATATATATATATATATATATATATATATATATATATATATATATATATATATATATATATATAGATTGTCTATATCTTAAAATTAAATATCGCTACTCTGAGTTTCACGTCCTTTCTAGACGATCATCAGGCGATTTTGTTCACGATTTTGTTACTGATTACGTGATTGCATCATCATCAACCGTTCGCTGACGCGTTAACTTGTTTGTTCGCGCGCGTTCGATTTTCCCGGCGCTGAATTTTTCTCGATGGCGACATTTCGCGAAGAACTCGGATCTTTTGTTCAACAGATTGGTTTTATGTGATTTCATGATTTCTAATTTCTCTTCTATGCACAAATTACAACGCCTACCGCCAGGTAAATACGCTGCTGCTCGTTTCAAAATGGACCACTTAATACTGTATTCCCTTTTCTTGTCCTTCAAATCCCATACGTATTTGGAAAGTTCTGTGTCAGACGAGTACGCAGGCTTATTAAACGACTTTTTGTGATTTCTGTATCTAACCTTGAACTCCGTGGAAGTCATTCCAATGTATTCTTTGGTCGTTCCATCATGGGGCGTTGTTATTTCTGCCTTATAAACTACGTTGCTGGTCAAACACTTATATATATATATATATATATATATATATATATATATATATATATATATATATATATATATATATATATATATATATATATATATATATATATATATATATATATATACATATATATATATACATATATAATAACAATCTAATAAGCTCTGCTATACTTTTAGTATTGAGCACTTTATATATCTAGACAACCAAAACAAATTGAATTATATATATATATATATATATATATATATATATATATATATATATATATATATATATATATATATATATATATATATATATATATATATATAGCTACATATACATATATACATATAGCTACATATACATACATGTATATGTATATGTACATGTGTATGTGTGTGTTCTGAATCATGTGTTCGTTGGTGTTCGCTATCTGCTAATCAGAGATTTTTATGATTCTTTTTCTGTTGTGTAGAGTTTTTTTGGAGTGAGTATAGTCATCATATACAAGAAGATGTCAGAAGACAAAGATGAAATCACACGGCTAAACCCAGTAGCTCGAGCGATACTCCAAGGTCTCTATGACACTGAAAGTCCTTTGCATAAATTGCTTGGCCTGCATTATGTATTGAAAGCCATATGGAACAATGTGGTGGATCACTGGAAATCAAGAATTAAGAAAACAGATGAAAATTCCCATCCAGAAGAAGCCGACACATCGTACGTGAGTTTTGTCAAACTCAGAACGCAAGGCGTACGAGCATTTTTTCAAAAAGATGTGGTCGTTGTGTTTCCAAAGCCTTCTAAAATCAATATTAATATGATGCCATTTGTAATGGGAAGAGATTTCA